GGGTCCAGTTGCTTGAAAATCAAATCAAAGGTGCAAATTGCTCCTTGTTGAGCGTATCTAGACGGAAAACTGCCTAAAATCCAAAGATTCGAGTCGTTCTAGTCCGATCTTGTAAGTGGTACTTTCCATAGCTAGGCAAGTACCTATGTGATACCATAAACGGATGACCAATAATGGGACAAGGCTAATAAGGTAAGTAGATAGCGGGTGGGATCCATTTCTAGGCCGGAATCGAGGAGAATCAGGCAACAGATACTAGGGTTTGGAGAAGGGGGGGAAGGTTTGAGAGAATGTAGAGGCAGCTGGCTAACATGAGTGGTATCTAAGGTATAGGTGTTTATCGGGCGGGCTGGGATGGGCTGAACGGGAAAACCCCCAGCCCGTTCGGTTAGCGGGCGGGCTGTTATAGGGCTGAGATTTTTCGGGTTTTCATGGGCCCGTACGGGTTAGGGCTCTGGCGGGCCGGGCTCANTTGAAGTTTAAAGTTTAAAGTTTTAAATTTGAAATTTGTATTTTAAAATTATAAAATTGAAATTATAAAGTAAATGGCTACAAAAAATTATTTAATAAGAGTATACAACCAATAGGAAATATAAGGAACAAACTCTGAAGGCTTTCATTTATATTTTTAATACTTAAAATTAATTTGCAAGTTCTTTTTTGATTTTTTTATTTTTGAATTTGCAAATTAAAAGTTTACAATAATTATAAAAAATAAGAAATAGTACATCGCATGCTTTGCATCATTTTTATAAGTTCTTCCATGTCAACATGAGGTCCTTGATTTCCGACATTGGTTGAATCGGAACCATAAACCATTATATCTCCAATTTCTTGGTCCTCCTCTTCATCTACCTCATCACACCCTTGATTTCTAAGTTCTGATCTTATCCAATCTCTGAAACACACTAGAATTTCCAAAGCGTTGCTACCCAATGAATGACGGGTGTCTCCTAGCTGCTGCCTTGCTTGGCTAAATGCGCTCTCTGATGCGACTGTTGAAATCGGCACATTTAGCACGTCTCGAGCCATGGCCGAAAGAACAGAAAATTGATTTGAGTTGCTCCTCCACTAACCCAGCGGTAGAAAATCCTTTGTGAGGGGCTCTTGTGACTTTTGCAAGTAGAATTGTAGTTCATCAATATTCCTACTACCGGTTTGTTGATGATCTCCTAGTGTAGACCAAATCTCATAATCTTGAACACAATCATCATCATCCAGAGTTGTTCCAGAGGTTGAAGGATTAGTTGAAGGAATATTTGCATCTACAACCGAAGAAGCATCAACAATGTTAGCATAATAATTATATAAAGTTTGTAAATGTGTGTGTAGCTCAGAAATACAAGTGTCAATATCAGGAGTTTCAGTTGGGCCAATATCCATATAAGTATATAAAGCTCTAATTAATTGGCGACACTTTATCATTTTGACAGTAGGGTTTAAAATAACACCAATTAGGTAAATATAGGAAATTGGGTAGAAATACTTTTTAAACTTATCTAGCATAGATTTAACAACAGTAGCATATCCTTATTTCTGCTTCAAATTATGTAGTAAAAAAGAAAGTTTAGCAATATGAACTAAACCATTTGAAATGGTAGGATAATAAGCTCCAGAAAACTCAAGTGTAGCTACATAAAATTTTTGTAAAAATTGTACAACATCATGAATGACTTCCCAAGTTCTAGATGTTAACAAACGGTTATGATCGGTACAATGAGAATTAGCAACTTCAGTTATAGGCATTCTATATTTATAACAACATCTTAAGAACAAATAAGTATAATTCCACCTAGTAACTATTTCTTCAGGCATGAGTCTTGGTTTTAGTCCATAGTGTACACATTTTTCCTTAAATGCATTTAATCTAGCAATTCTATTATTTCCTTGAATTACACCAACAGCTCTCCTAACTAAAGTAATTTCATTTCTAAATAATTCAAGGCCACTCTTCACAATCAAGTTATAAATATAACATGCACATCTAACATGAAATATTTCAGGAAGTGGTGGGTGTAGATGCAATTTTAATATTGTAATAGCAGCATTGTTGTTAGAAGCATTATCAAATGACATACACAAAACTTTTTCTGCAAGATTATAAAATATAGCAACTTCATGTATAGTATTACTTATAAATGCACCAGTATGACTTTGATCTTCATCATATTTAAAAGCAATAATACGTTTTTGCATACAAAAATTATCATCTATCCAATGGCATGTAACAGTCAAATAATCATTTCCATTCACAGCACGACCAATATCAGAAGTAAGAGAAACTTTACAAGGAAGACTTGCGAACAAATAACGTATATATGTCTGATATTGTCCAAAAAGCATAAAGATATCAGCTCTACAAGTACTTCTAGGAATACCTTTAAACATAGGGTTATAAATTCTTTGAATATAAGTAATAAGATACGGTGAAGAAGCAAAACTAAAAGATAAACAACCTAAAACAATCGTGTTAGTTAATTCTTCCCGATCTTTCTTAATATCGTATTTCCCAAATAACCCTCCAATACTCGGGTTAAGTCTTTGTTACCCAGATGACTCATCTACTCCCCAATCAAGAGGGTGTTTCTCTTCCATATACCTACGAAGTTGACCCGTTTCCCCTCCTTTACCGGGCTCATGTTTATAATATTCACTACAAATTTTATATTTTACATAATTTTTTGATCTTCTAGTCTTTCAAAGAACATCCAACACTTACTTCTTAATCGTCGATTCTTCTTAATAGAGAGAGGGGGCCTACTTGTTGCACCCCTAACATTTTGAGTTTGACTAGCATTACCAGGTGTAGGTGGTGATGTTTCAAGATTATCGGGTGATTGAATATCATCTAACAAAGCATCTAAATCATCATCTACACCATAATTTTCTTGCATTCACTCATAATCTACATTTAAATTTTCAGGTGAACTTTCAGAAATATGTGTAAAGCTACTAGAAGAACCAACACTACCTCTTGTTCTTTTTAAAGTTTTCTTACTACACCTCTACTAGTGCACACTTTTTTGGCCGCTCTAAGTAAATCCATTATATATATTAAACTATTAAAGTAAGAAATTAAATTAAGAAATTAAATTAAAAAACTAAATTAATAATTCTAAATAATAAAATAAGTGTACACCAAATAAGAGAAAGAGATGAAACAAGTGTACCGGGATTCCTTATGCCGCACTATTTTTGAATTTTTGATATCAAAATTCAAACTTCAATTGATAGACCGAAACTTGATAGTTGATAATACTTGAATACTTGATACCACAGTTCACTTGAATAATTGATATTTGATAATAATAATTTTGTAATGGCTAAATTAAATAATTGATGAAACTTGAAGTAATAAATAATTGAGAATTTGAGATTTGAGAATTTAAGAACTATAATATCAAGAGAGACTTGAGACTTGAGAGAGAACTAGAGTAGTAAGAGAGTGAATTGTGAGAAAAAATGAAGAAGAAGGGGGGCTATTTATAGATTTTAAAAGGTTAAATAAGTAATTTTGCAATTATTAGGGGTGGGAGGGCTATATTTTTAATGGGGGGCCGAAATTGGCCATTTTTGCAAAATCTGGCCGTTCCCCAACGGTCATTTTTCAATTTGACTGTTGGGAACGGTCCAATTAAATTAAAAAAAAAAATTCAACGGTAACCGGGCTGCTAACGGGCAGCAGCTCGTGTTCAACCCGTTAAGAAATATTGGGTTACGCGGGTCAGGTGCACCGTTAAGCTAAACATGAACGTCCACAACCCGCCCCCTAAACAACCCGTCCCAACCCGTCCAATAGTGAATAGTAGCGGGCTGAACCGGGCTGACCCGGGTTTAAGCGGGCTAAAAACGGGTCAGCCCGGCCCGATTAACAGGCTTAATCTAGGGTTAGGGTTATGGGGATATAAGGAAAGGATGGGAATTATTATGGATCATTGATCATTTGAGATCAACGGCCAAGATCAAAAGGGAAGTGGGGCGGGTCAAGAGATGGGTGTAGGATAGTGGGCTGCTGGTATTGGGCTAGGGAAGTTGGGCTAGAGATTTGAGGAGTTTGGGTCACTAGTGTGGTCCGAAAAAATTGTATAATTTGGGCTATGTTTTAAATACACAAAATTGTTTAAAATAAAATATTTAATAATAAATAATAAAATATTATTTATGCATTAAAATGATTGAAAATAATATTTTATCATTATAAAATATAAAAAATACTATTTTGGCACAAATAATGTAAATAAACGTAATTATGCATGAACATAGGCTATTATCGTAAATAGCTAAAAATACGAGCATAATTGTATGAAATAATGTTAAACTATTATAGACGTATATGTGGGTGTAAATAATAAATCTGGATGATTAGGTCATCACAAAATAATTTAAAAGGATAATTAATAAATATTAAAGTAATTTAAATGTAAGAAAAAATAATTTTAGAGCTCTAAAAATTATGAAAAAAATATAAAAATATTTGTATAAACCTTGTAAATTGAGTAATGATGCAGAATGATGCTTTTAAAATATATATACTACCTGAAAAAATATGATGGCAAAATTGGGACTATTGCTTGTTATGAGTCTATGCCTTATATTCTTGTGAGGAACTAATTTATGCCCAGAATTTGTCCAAATGAACAACTTTTATGTCGAGTCCTTCATGTAAAATATGTTATTTTCTTAGAGAATTCATGAGGAACCTATATGCTAATAGGGATAATACATAATTACCCGTTGGGATTGTACCAAAGTTACAGTTACACCCCTTAAAAATATGAATGTCCTATGGCCTGTATAATTTTTAGTGAATTAAAATACACCTTCCCGGCCTAGCTGGCATAGAAAGCAGCTCACTCTCTAGGAGGGACGTGAGAGGCAAAAAATATAAGTTAAGATTGACTAATGTGTACACCTATCATTTCTTAATTGGATATAATTAATTATGATTTTTCATTCCCTTCTTTTTCGATTTTCATGCAGTCAAAACTCAATGTCATATCTTCACCATAAAACAACACAATAGCTAATCAATTCACGCTTGCACATGAGAACACTGCCATGAGATTTGTAGACATGTCGAACAACACTCTTTCTTCTCACGCCAAAGATTTTGTATCTCCTGCTCTCACTCTCAGTCTTGTAAGTCGTATTATATATTTTCTCCTATCACCCCTTCATTTCATTTTTTGTATATCAAATTTACTGTTTCTCTCCAAAATGCTAGTTGAAAGTATAAAAGCCAATTTTCTTTACTTTTAGTTAGTAATATTAAAAAATTATTTGGGTGTTTTTTTAATTCTTGAATATTCTTGAAGGCTGGTATTTTCCGAGATGGAACAGATGGAAACGAGGAGACGGAGGAGGTTGACGACGAAAGTGCCAGAGGTGGCCGAAGAGAAGAGATGACGACGGTTGAGATTAGCAGTGAGAATTCTATACCCCTGATGAGTACTTTAACTTTCTCGTGATGATTTTGATGCCAAAAACGAAGAAGACGACGACTCAGAAAAATTCCGACTAGGAGTTCGCCGGAAAAAATGGAGATCGGACCCTTTTTGAACAAAATGACAGTTTTTCTTTTGTGTCTTAGCAAAGTACTGATAAGTGCTGAATTTGTTTTTCCGGTGGACATGGGTGGTGGTGATAGTGGCTATGGCGGAGCCAGTTGTGTTGGAGAAGAAGAAAACAAAAAGAAAAGAAAAAATAAAGAAAAAGAAAAACAATAAAATGAAAATTATAAATAACAAAGAAAAACCAGTATAAGAGAAGAAATTACGTGGCAAAATGTGATTGGTGCGTGTTGTCCACTAATTTTTTTGAAATTGGTACTAGTCACATAAGGAGAACCTTATTTCACTTCAAGCAATTATAGGGGGTCATAGGACTATTTTTAAGGGGTGCAACTGACACTTTGGTACAACCTCAATGGGGTAATTATGTATTATCCCATGCTAATACTATCCCAACTAGGTCTCTTTGCTGTTTATAAACTCTAATGTCATGCTATCACTATTCACTTAACTTGTCTAATACCTCTACACTATTCACAACATGTTAGTGTGAGTAAATGTTGTACCTATTTCCATGTCTACTGCTGTTTACTATTAGACAACATATCTAAAGGAACCAAACGCCAATAACTATTTGTTTAATTATTAGACAACATGCCTATAGGATGTAACCATACATGCCTTTGCTAATGCTCATCTCCATATAGATACCATGACTATAGGGCTTTAATTAATTAACTAATTGACCACTTTTGTTGTTTTATTATATTGCCCGCTTAGATGACATGCCTATAGGAATAAGTATGATAAAATCAAGTTCAAATACCAACTTTTAGAAACCTGCCTATAGGATACGGTTACTCGCCTAGAAAGCATGTCTATCGAATCAAACGCCTGTAATCCTGGGTTTAAACGATTTTACTCCTTCATCGCACAAGAAATTTAGAAATCATGCCCATAGGGTTAGTAATACCTTTAATATGCAAATTCGTTAGTCTAAAACAGCAGTACTGCCTGTAAGACACTTGAAATCAGAATCACATAGAAACCATGCCTATAGGACTTAACGACTCTAATGCGTCTTAATTCTGAAACTGTCTACTGCCTAATATAAGAATCCGTCCGCGTGCATTTATTGCTTATTGTAGCCACTTATTGTCTTTACGTGTAGTCCTACATGTTTTGAATGTGCGCTAGTTTTATCATTTTTGAGCACTCTAAGTAAAGTCTAGAACTACCAAAATAGTAGGTCCAAAGTCTTCTGGATCATAGGCATGGGACGGGTAGCACACGCATAGGATACGATTTAGAATTAAATTAGAGCGCTCTAAGTAAACAACTTTAATATAGTAATTGGGTAGCAGGAGATAATAGTCTATGCCCGCTGAATAATATGAGCAACTTGTACCCTAAGGAAGTTGTGAAGTATTATTTATGTTGCAAGGGGTGATCCTTTAGGCTAAAAAACTTAGGACCTTTCCCCTTTGTATGTTTATTGTTCGCACTTTGAATAATTAAATTGTATCCTGTAACTTCTAAAGACTTGTACTGAGTATTTATATATTTTAATTTTTGTGCGATTCTCTTTACACTTGTTTATATTATAGTAAAACTTTTAAATTCCTTGTCTTCCCTCACTTATATGATCACATAGGATAATTATAATCCGATAATCCCACATAGCGTAAACTGCGGGTAGGACACACAGTTGTCGACCTCGAATAGTGCTAACACCTTCTCTTTGAGGTAATTTAAGTCCTTACCAGATCTTTGGTGACGTAGACTAGTTAAACAAAGTTATATATAAATAGGTGCCCTAACGAACCTTAAAACTGTTAGATAGAGACTCTTCTCTTTTATTACCCATTTAAAAGAGTTATCATATGTCGAAACCCGCTTTCGAGAGAAAAAGGGGCGCGATAGCATGCAACTCTGCTGGGGGTATACTTAGGCTTTCACCATAATGAATTTGACTTATGTGGATTAACGAATTATTTAATGACATGTACTTCCCTTCATTTATTTTCCATTATTTGTTTAAATTATTATGACATATACATCCCCTCCCTATTTCCCCTACTTTCTTAAACTGCTATGACATGCATATCCTCTCTCTATTTCCTTTGTTTGCTTAAACTGCTATGATATGTACATCCCCTCTCCATTTTCTTCATCTTGTTTAAGGCTGCTATATCATGTCTCTCCCTTCCCTATCCCCTATTTGCTTCATTTAATTACGTTCTCGCGCATTTTCATAGTTAAACTGAGTTCTCTCTTTTGTCTTTCCTTTTTATTTTCTTTCTCATATTATTTACTGTTTTTATGCACTTTTATCATGTAAATATCTGGAAACGTGTTACTCTTTTTGCATAAAGCATGATTTCAATATCATACTCCACTCGTGCTTATTATCAATATAGAAGCGCTTGATGAGTGTCCGCGCTTTCCTAAAAAATACCCTTTTAAATTTGAAAGGCTTATTAGCTGTAGACTAGTCGATCGGCGGTGCAGTCGATTGTCTCATGCCTTTACCTCTCAAGTTTTCCACTTGAGAGTATCAGTCTAGACCTTTCAAGAAACCACACTCTGATTTGAAATGTACATGTGTCATGCTAAACCTAGTACAAATTGAGACGTTATTGACCCATCAACCCGTTTAGATGAACCTTGTCCAAAGTCCAATAGGATTTCCACAATCCCAAAGGACACTGTCATAATATGTGCATTACTTGGAGAAAACGTGCCAACATGTTCATCATTATTGCATAAATAGTCGAATTTAGAGGGGTAAAGGGCTAACTTTTATTTGTTTGCAGAAAATGAAGCACGAAATCCCAGGTTTGGTATGGTCCAGAATATCCTGCCTCTACTAATTGACTGGTAGAACGACCATGCACCCTGTGACAGAACCATGTGAGGAAGTACTGGGTAACCTGCCATTTTTGCTGAATATTCAACCCAATAGGGGACTAATTGAGGCAGCCACCATGTTATGGGATGAAAAGAGAGTTGTTTTCTGATTTGACAATATAGAAATGACTCCTCTCCTAGAAGAAATAGGAGGCTTAGCCAAGTTACAACGGATAGTCCGAGTCTATTGGTGCCAGAAAATCGCACCCTACGCGATTTTCTGAAGATAATGGGTTTTAAGAAGAACGACGAACTGGTCTGCCTGAAGAAATCATACATACTCTTTGAATTTCTATATGAGCAGTATAGGCATAGCAAATCATATCACCTTCATCATGAGGAGCTAGCCATAACCTCTTTGGGATGGGTGCACCGTCGGGTCTATGTCTTCATAGTCTATTTCTTGGATTTTTTGATCTTTTCAATGCAAGGGGGAAGAATTCACACTCGCTTAGCCATAGTCGCTAGGACCTTAATGGAGGGTATCGAGGGGCAGAAATATACTATCATCCTGATGATCTTAGCTGAGATGTACCATGCTCTGTATCGGTGCAAGCATGGGTTCGGACACTTCGAGGGTTGTAATCTCTTGCTACAAGTTTGGCTATTGGAACAGTTTCAGAGGGTGATTATTGCCAAGAGCTTCTACGCAGGCCACTGAATGACTACATAGCCAGTCATCATCCAAAGAAGATGACATTCATTCCAGACAAGTTTGCAAAGCCTGGAAATACTGTAGGCTGGGTGCGTTTTTCAGTAACCTAGCAGACGAGCAAGTGCATTGGATGTTTGAGTGGTTTCCTAGTAGCGAGTTCATCATTAGGTCTAAAGAAACCACTCACTTGGTACTGATTGAGCTGCGTGGCATCTACACTTATGCTCCTATAAGGGTAATGAGGTAAGCTAAGAGGAAACAAGTCATACCTCGAGTTTCCAACATGGTTCAGTATAAAGCAGATTTCAAAGGAGATGTCATCACATTCAAGTTTGAAGCCCAACACATGTGGAACCAAAAGATCATCGTGGAGGGAGAGACTATTGAGCCAGACAGGTATCACGCCGGTCATATGTACTACTGTCTCTCATGATTGGAAGATGACATAGACGGGGATGACAAACCGGGGTCAATCTGAAATATAGGATCATAGATGGGGTGGATGAGGCACATGTGAAGTACAAGAGGCTATGAAAAAAAGTAATTGAATCTGAAGCTAAGTATCTGGAATATCATAAGGTGGATATGGAGTCGATCAAAGAATGGAAGGATATTGCAAATAAGTCGACAGAGCGGTTGGAGCATCTAAAGCAAAGACTGATGGAGCTAGAGGGTAAGATGAGAAAGAGGCTTTGGGATTGTCAAGGCATGAATCCTGATGAAGGAGGGAAGCTGGCAATGGCTTACTTGCTACTCGACATGCACGATCTGGGAAATGTGATTGATGGAGTCAAGAGATCCAAGCATGGAGAAGGTTCTTCGGGAATCGAGTGGACTAGGAGATAATGTTATTTACTGCTTTCAAGATTAGATTTCATTAGATTTCAATGTAACAAGGCTTAATGCCATTAGCGACTTTATAGTTATTATTTCGATTTAGTGAAAGATTGATTTGGCTTATTTTTCCATTAATGGAATGTGGCAACATTGGCGTGAATTTTCTCCAAGTCTATATATCTCTTAGGCCTACCTCAAGCACAATAAGGTTCACAAATTAGGACGTGAATTATTGCATGACCTGATGTGGTACCTGCTTAAATATTGCAAATACTCTTTTACTTCATCTCACTGACTTGGTTACCTTTTGTTTTTCTGTTTTTTGATTACTCCAATTCCCAAAGGTTGGTTCATGCATTCTGGCATCATCAATATACCACATCAGATCCAGATGTCCTCCACCTTCACCTCCACCTAGCGACCCGAAAAGAAAAGGCAAAGGCAAAGAGAAGATGGATGATATAAGTGGCAATCAAAAAGACAATGCTACCATGGCAGAAAATGTTGAAACCTTAGATGGAAGAAGTATGCTGGGATAGAATAAGTTGGTCTTACGTCTGGAACAAAACATCTTGGAGCTGTAGGGTGATCTTGAGCAGGTCAAAAATCTCACAAACCTCTCCTATACTCTAAATGTTCCTGACATCAACCAGCAAAACACAACCACTCAGAACCAAACACCACTGCAAAATACCCAACCCCAAAATCCACCACCATAGCTTAACAAAATCCACTCGCAACCTACTAGTATCACAATCCCACACCTCCTTAAAACCTTGACCCGCCACCAGTGCAGACCCCTCAACAATACCACCATTATTCAACCCAGTATCTGCAAACCACCACTTATCACACCCCTCAAAACACATTAAAAATCACCCCCGATCCCCCTCAAACTTTGATCAATGATCACCCATATACCCAAGTTCCAGGAACTCTCTAAGGCAACCCGATATACGTGGAAACCTTACCCCATACCCCGTAACAAACCCTATACATACTCGAACCAACTGAAAAGGACCTGCTCATCTGAAAAATGGCGGAGGAACTCAAGAAACTAATAGGGAGAGTCTAAAGTGTTGAA